TAAAAAGGATAAAGATGGACTCAAAAGTTATTTTGACTTTTTGTAAATAGTCCAAACTTCGAATTCTGAAGAAATAATCCTGAGTTTTTACAAAAATCGTAACCATATGCGAATATTGGAGATACTCGTAACTACCACCAGAGGGCCAGAAGCAGTTTAAAAAGTAGATAAAAATGAAAATGGTGAAGAATTTCTTTGTGTTTTTAATTGTAAAAGTGTCAGATACCTACAATAAAAGGCTGACACTTGATCTTTTTTAACCTTGTGAAGTTGTTTTTACCAAATTTTTTATCTGTGTTTTTAGAAGAGTTCTTCAAAGCAAAAATTTTTTAAGACTGTTACTTCTGTGGTAGTGTTAGAAGGATAAAGATGGACTCAAAAGTTATTTTGACTTTTTGTAAATAGTCCAAACTTCGAATTAAATATTAGTTTATTGGAAACTTTTACACCAACAAAGCAGAATACGCAGTGGCCCACACAATTAATTCACATTTTAATTAGCTGTAACAGTCATTTCATAAATAAAACAAAATTATTTATGATTTAATTGATAATATTTTTAGGTCATTAACTTTATTTAAAAGTTGTTATAATTTTTAAAACAATTAAAAAGAAAGAAATTAAGCTGAAGGTAGGACTGAATCTAGATCGCCCGTGTGGCAAGCGATTTTGCTACAGAATCAGCCATTTCAATATTATAAAATAAAATAAACCTGTAACTATCCAGCAATAAAAAATGCTTAATAAAAACGTTTCAACATTTTTAAATGGCCATCTTCAGTTGAACCAATATTTAAAAAGAACACTAAAAAAGAACGCATGAAATACAAATTAAACAGAAACCAAAATGTGCATGCATAATTCATTGGACTTGCATCTTCTGAAAATCTATAAATAACTTGCAAATAACATAAAAGTAATAATTTTATGTTATTTATGTTATGTTAATTTTATTGCTGAATAGTTAAAGGTTTATTTTATTTTATATTATTTATTCATTCCAGTATAAGTTCTTGTTTTTATTTATTTATTCCATTTCAATATTCTGCCATAATGTAAAATCAACCGGTATATGAGCTGCACTTAAAACTTTAGAACCCTTTTTCTTGGACTCTTCTGGCTAGTGCGCTTTACAATTCTTCTGGGTGGACACCCTTAAGGTGTACTACTACTAACCTGTGAAATCTCATCCCAAACTGAATTTCCGAGACCATAATGTCTCCTTGTTAGTGTTGTTTCATACAAAAGATAATCAAATTTTAATTTATTTTTTAGTAATTTCATTAATTTTTGTTTCACAAATTTGCCTGCTTTTTAAAATTCTTAATTATAAGTGAGTGAACATTGATTGAACTATCGGGGCTGGTGGTCGGGAAAAATGTTTAAGTGTCAGCAAAACAGTAAAATGTAAACAAAATTATATTTTAATTGAAAAATATTATATAAAATTATTTTCAATATTTAGTATGTTTACTTTTAATGATAAAACAACTTTCTCATTATAATTATGAAAGTTTTTGTTATGATTCACAGATGATGCCATAATATATTAAATTTTCAAATGTGATTCATTCAATTCTGAGTAAAAATACTCATTCATGCTAAGTTTAATGCTGCTTTGGTTTTAAAAATTGATTTTTTTAAGATGAGTAAGTCTTAATATTTTGTGGCTTGAGGGAATGAATTCAAAAATCAGTTAACTTGTGATGATGATATTTATTCGGCTTGATGCATCATTTGCTGAATCTTATTTAGTATTAAATATAATGGAATTAAATCATTTACAAGGCAGAGAAGCATGAAAAAAGCACATCTTCTCATTTATCTCCCCCGCTCATTGTGTCAGCCCACGAAGCAGTTTTCAAAGATGGCAACTGTATGTGACATGATGAGATAGTTGTGTAAAAGGAATTTAGCTGTAATTTCTTTGAGGGTGGTGTTGCAATATTAACTTTATCTGAATAAGATTACAAAGATTACTTATTTTGTAATACACAATAAAAGCATGCATATTTACATATAAACAAAAAATGTTCATGTTTCTTTCGAAAGATTGATTCTGGATTTTCTGATCATTTTCCATTCTTAAGCTGGATGTTTATTAATTAAGGAAAGTACTGTGCTTTTAATGTAAATTATTAATTTTTCTAAACTAAACTAAACTTTAGAAAGTATTCAAAAGAATCGGAATCAGAAGAAATTTTTGTATCGTCTTATCACTACTAATATGAACTGATGGAGAACGATCAAGATTGCTCTAAAATCCAGAAATTCATGTTTTTCAATAGTCTCATAACTATTAATAGTCAATTATTTACTGTTATCTTGGTTATTGTTACTGCAACTATAAATTTCTATTTCCTTAAGTTTAATGTTATGTTTATCTTACAAAACATTAAAAGTCAAAATACTTTTTCTATAAGTTAGTTCAGGAAATATTGTTGGCAAACATCAATATTTGATAAATTGATTTTCATTATTATGTGGAATTAAGTTTGTTAAATTATTGTATGTATAAATTTAATTAATATATTCATTCATTTATATAATTAATTGTTCATAACATGTATAAGTATAGCTTGGACAAAGAAACAAAACTTAATTTTAGTTTTTTAAATTTTCAAAAATTTTCCTTTTGCCCTATGAACACTAAGACAACCTTTTTATCAACCTTATCCTGGCTTCAGCTAGGCTCACAACACAGTGACCAGGTGGTGAAATATGGGGGCTTGACATATTCAGGACAGATCACCTCCTGAGGTTTTTTGATCTGTCCAGATTCATTTCCAAGTTTTGCAGAGTCATAGGCTGACTGCCTCAGTTATTTGGCCATAATTTTAGTAAATTTAATAATAATAAAATTAATAATTACCAAATATAAAATAAATAATGAAAATAATAATTGAATTTTTGTTAAAACCTTGCTATTATTATATGAGTATAATGTGAAACAATGAACAAAACAATGAACAAGGATATATACAATATATATAAATTTTTATTATTTTGAGCATATTTACTTTTTTAGAAGATAAATTTTTAAAAATAATTTGAATTTGAGTAAAATAACTATAGCTTATTTGATTTCAGAAATGGTACATTATGGAAACATACATCAAATAAAATTCTTCCACCTGATAAAAATCCAAATGAATTAAGGAAAAGACTTTTAAAATTGAAAAGAGAGTATTATGAAATAAAACGTTATTTAAAATTTAGTAAGTACACTTATTATATAAACTTTTTAAGCCTAAGAACTTTCTAAGAAAAAAATATATTTTTAAATATTGCTTTATAGTTATCAATAGTTTAGTGATTTGTATTAATTTTCAACATTATACAATAATACAGTTTTTGTTTTTTATAATTTACTGTAATTTGTTTATTATATAAACTAGCTAATGTATTCAGCAATACTTGGGTTAACATAAGAAAAAATCAAATAGGATCAAGAAGTACATATGGTTTTGGTATTGTATACATTGGTATGGTATACATGGTATTTAACAACCACATACAGTCGACCCCCTATAACACAGTAGATACGTTTCAGTTTTTGTGAATCGATTTTCTATGAGTCCAGCCAATCACAGCCCGGCATGTATGCAGTTTACAGTCTATGGCTGTTTGAAAGGTTTCTTCCATAAAATTAATCGATTCTAGACTAATTTGACTCAACATTTCCAAAATACATCTAATTTTTTGGGAATAATCCATATAAACTATGCTATGAACAAAAATTGTAGGATTACTTACCGAGTGTGCACTGTTCGACTACGCCATTGCTTAAGCTTGTTTTTGTCATAGTGCTTGTCATCGAATGGCACTTGCGTGCTTCCTGATAAATTATTTTTTTGCGAAAAATTCGCTGAACTTTGGAGACATCATTAATATAAATATAATTTATATGGATGTTAAATAATAAATGGTTTTTAGTAGGCCCGCTGCTTGTTTAAACTCAACGGTTTGTACAATATCCGCTATTGGTCTAGATTTGACCAATCCTCTCGCGACACAAGTCGGCGATGAAGTTTTACCGAGTTATAGGAGTTTTTTTAGCATGTTTGTATGAATATTGTTGCAATTTTTTCGCCATGATATAGGAATCCGAACTATAGGAACCCATGTTATAAGGGGTTGACTGTATATCAAATAATTATTTCTATTATAGTGTTAGAAATTGTTTTTGGGCTACAATTTGAAAAAATTTCCATTGTCATCCATCTGTCTGTCCTTCCTTAATCTCAAAAACTGAATTAGATTGATGAACATCAAGACCAGATATGGAAAGCTTAGGAGCATGAAGCCCCAATTAATTATATACAAACTTTGATGCAAACTGGAAGTCACATTATTTCAATTTAAGAATTTTCTCCTGAAAGGAGTTAGATAGATGACTGGCATGACTCTATTGCTAACAGGAATAGTATAATGTAAAGGGGAAGATACTACTAATTTGAGGTGGAGAGCATATATTATAAATAAATTAAATTAAAAATATTAAAAATTGAAGCCTGGCATTGTGACGATGTCACAATAAGGGTAGTCCTAAGCTATGAACTGTCCTTTCATCACATTTACAGGAAGATTGCCAAAGATTTAAACATACTTGTAGTGTACAAAAGGAAACCCAGTGTTTTCTACCTGCTGTCTAATGCTAAAGATAGCATCAAAGACACAAGACTGCATCCCACTGCAGGATAATAGGTTCAACAGGATACTAACATATATTGGTTCCATGTACAGATTGTTGCAAGCCAGGTTATGAGATTACAAGTACGATGTAACAAAAGGAAACATTAATATGGCTCTGGCTCATTATGTTACCAATCCAGGGATGTTCCCCTATTGGGACGAGGCTACCCTAATACCCTAATATACAGAACAGTTATTTTGTTTTACATTTCCTGAAGAGGACAGATAAAGTAGTGGCTGAAAGCATTCAAATACTGAATTTGGGTGTTTCTTTGCTGGAAATTTTGCATTTAGGTGTGATTATCTGTCACAATAAATATTTGCTCATTTTCTTTTGATTTTTTTTTAATAAAATAAAATTTGTTTTATTTATCTATCTTTGTACAGACTTGTTCGGTCATATTTTACAGAGATATTCATGAAGGTTAAGATATTTTTCTCAAATAATAAATAAAATAATTTTTAGTAGAGCAATTGGCAACAAAACAATTTAAAGTGCTATATTTTCAGAGATAATAATTATATTTTAAAGAAATATCAAAAGTAGATGGAAAATAATATTAATAAGATTTTTTTAAATAAATACTTTTGAAGTATTTACATGTCATTAGGTTTTATATTAGAAATGATAAACAAACATAATTTGTTTGCTAAAATGAACTTTTATTGTTACTGAAAAAAATTTATGGGCTTTCACAAATTTTCTTATAAAATACAGTGGAACAAGTTTGTAGGAAAGTATGTAAATAAAATAAAGATAAATTTCCCAAAAATGTTGAAAGAAAAGATGAAATTTGATGACATGCCAATCCAAACACAAACATTTCTACCATTGTTTTCCACAGGCCTTTGTAGAATGGTGGTATATGCATCATGCTACATCAACTTGTATTTGAAAAACACTATTAAGGATTGTTCAAAACATTTAATTTCTAATCTATGTACACACACACACACTCTCCTTTGAAATATTTCCCTTCTGTAGCTATGCACTTCTACCAATGTGTGCTATTGCTGGAAGCAGTTAGCAAGGCCAATTTTTGGAACTGCCTTGAGCGTTGCTATTGTGACTACTTGAACATCATCAGATGTTGTGAAACATTGTCCTTTCAGCTGTTCCTTCATCTTGAAGAAAAGAAAGAAGTCTTCAGGTGATATACAGTTGCTGTAGAGTAGGGAAGTTGTGGGAGCAATGACATCATTCTCGGACAAGTACTTTGACAAGAGCAGATTGCTGTACTGGTTTATTGTCATGATGTAAGTACCATGTTTTTGAAGTCCATAACTCTTGTCACTTTCATTGAATAGCATCATGAAGGCACTTCAGAATCTACACGTCAGCATTTTACATCAAATGTTTCATAACAGATGATGAGGTTCAAACAGCCCTGACAGCTCTTGAGATAGATGCAAAAAATGGCTTTACTGACTGTTTCAGCAATGGTACCAACATTGGCAGAAGTGCATAGCTGCAGAAGGAAAGTGGTTTGAAGGGTGATATTATATAACTCTTTTCCTCCAATAAACAATTTCTTATAATCTCTGTCTCAGAACTTATTGACTGAAGGGAGAGAGTATATGTGTGTGTACAGTGTTATCTGGGCTAATCACAGATAATGGAAGCATGGATAATTTGTAAATCTGTTTTAATAAAAGCTAATTGATTTTTCTTTTATTTAGTTTATAATTTCATATTAAATTTAACATAAGTTTATATATTATGAATAAAATATACTTTAGCAACAGTAATTAATTTAATTAACAGAAAATTTAGAAAAATTTATTGAACTTGTGCCATGCAGTTCATAATCAATTTTTTGTACAGTAAAACCCCTCAAAAATAAAATCCAAATAAACAGAAACCTGCCAAATCAGAAAAAATATTTGGTACAATGTGATTCCAGTTTATACATGTTTTATTAATGAGAATGTCAGGTTGCTAACTATATATTGTTGTAAAACATCATTAATTTTGTGATATTAAAAATTTATTGATAAGGAAATGATTCAAAATATTTTCTTAAAACAATTTTACAGCTTATTTAATAATAATATAAAAAATATACAGTATACACATATGTAAAGCCATATTGTTCAAGAATCAACTGTACTTACTTTACTTGTTAGGCCATTTAGTTTGTCTTGACATTCTGGAAGTAGTTCTGGTATCCAACATACCATTTTAAATGGCAAGAGTTAACAATGCAGATTTTTTAAAAATTTTAATGCTAATATTTGTATTCCTAATGTAAATTTGTATTGAGATGTATTGAGATATGTGTGCTCAGATAATTTGCACATGGATAATTAAGAGTATAATGTATATTGATAAGAAATTAAATGCTTTGAACTATTCTAATAGTTTTTTTCCTTACAATATTGCTTAACTTTAGAAATGATAAACTTTAATTAAAATTCAAGTTAAATCATAAACCATTCAACAATTAACATTTAATTGAAGTTTGTTATTTCTACAGACAAGTGATGTTTTTGCATTTGTTTTTATTAAATTTATTTTTCATTTTGTACTATCAAAATGGTAATGTGGAAATGTAATTTGATCTGTCAGAAGATGTAGAATTTATCTTATAGTCAGAACATATTCTGCCCTTCTGCTTTCTGTATACCCTGGCAAGTAAAAAAAAAAACAAAATAAAATGTAGCATTCAATATTTATTAATTTGTTTTACAGAGAAATTTCATTAATTAATTTTAATTATTTTGAATAAATAAAATGTGTATATATTTTTTTCTATTTAGGTAATCATCCAGAATGGAAGTATATGAAATCAATTAGCCAATCATCTCATTCTAATCACATACAAGAAAAAAAGTGTGATTTAGATAGTTTAGAAGTTGAAATAGACACAAAACATTCATCAGAAATATCAAGAAATTACAATGAAGGTATTTTGGAATTCTGTAATATGAGTAAAATTAAATAAGTAAAAAGAATCTTATATACTTAATTAAGAACTTAAAGGTAGAACTAATTTGTAGTTTATACTTTGTTGTGTTGTTACTTAAGTCATTCTTAAATTTTATGGAAAAAATATTGAAATATTTTATGTAATTATTAATAAAAATTTTCATGAAATAATCTCACTATAGGTTAATGTTTTGTTTATATTTGTTATGAAGTTCAAAAAACTGAAAATAAAAACAAAATTAAATGTTTTTAATGTAACATTTTATTTGAAAATAGATGGCCATTTTTCCAATTTTTTTACATGATTATTAATAATTACTGTTATATTCCCCAACAAACATTTATAATTATTTATTAAAAATGTAATAGGAGTTTATGTGTAATGACAAATTATCATTTTTATAAATAAAATCTTATTTAGATTTGCTGGTTTATTTGAAGGCTACAAAAGAATGATAATTAGTATAATTTCCTGCAAATAACCCATATGTTATCTGTGTTTTAAAGTCATTTGAAAGAGGATATGAGTTATTTATCTATTTTAAATTGCAATTACAAGCTCACCAAATAGCTTTTCCTTTGTCTAAACTTACCAAGAAGGCATTTAGAAAATGTAAAAATCATATTTGTGTTATACCTAATCATCTGTCATCTTGATTTTTCTAGAAATTACCAAAGACATTTGCTCACTTTTTTTTATGTTAGTTGATATTTAATTGATATTATTAGACATTTCTACTTAAAATTATATCTTAAGCTAATAAAATTTTAATAATTCCTCTATATATATATATTCAGACTTTGAGAGAGTTGTTTATTCAGTACAAGCAATCTATTGATTTTGTACATGATAATTCTCTGTAGTGACTTAGCTAAATGATCAAATTTCAAACAAATTTCAAACTCGTGTTGTTGGATATTGTAGAATCTGTGTGTGTGTGTGTGTGTGTGTGTGTGTGTGTGTGTGTGTGTTTTTTAATAAAATCAAAAACAATGACATCAATAGAAGTTTTTATTTACAGCCTATTTATAGGCTGTGAATAATATACTGCCTTTTTATGCTGTGTATCTGGTATGATGATTATTCTCACCAAGCACCATACTAGCCACATTGCCACTTGAGCTTATCTTGGTTCTAGATAGCTCTTCAAACATCAAATATACTATGTTTATTATCCATGTTAAAATTTTTTTCTATTTCATTTATTTTCAATTTATTTTATATTTATCATCATCATCATTCATAATCTATCTAATTTACTTCCTAAACTATAATAATTTACTTTAAAAAAGTAAATTAGTTCTAAATTGAAAATGTTATCATGTAAAAACATCAAAAGTTAAGCTCTCAAACATTATTTGCTGCATAATTTTAACATTTATATATCTTTAATTATTAAAGTATAAAACTGCATACTGACATTAGGAATACCTGATTTGTCTAAGTAGATGGATAAATTCAAATGTATCTTCTTTGTAAATGAATGATGAAGAGCTTTGAGAAACAGTGTGGTACTGTACATTTTTATACTTTTGCAGTTCTTAGATTCTGAAAATATCAACTTGTCTCTAGTAAATATTCACACTTTTTACCTTAAAGCTTTTATATCTCTAATTATGATTTCTGTAGCTATATTTAGAAAACCTAGTTAGAACATCTCTATCAGAAAAAAAACAGTTGACCTAGTTAGAACATCTCTATCAGAAGAAAACAGTTGAACCTCGACTTTGGCAGGTTTAACTTTTGCAGAAGTGATTATTTGTGAATTTTCCATCAGTAACTAAATGGGAATTTTTTGGAATTTTGTAGTCTACTGTGGAAAATCACACAAACTAGATGACACACAAACTAGAGAAATATAAAGAAAAATTAACTTTAATAATACATATAAATTATTTTATCCATTTATAATTTACTAATCTATTTTATTGTTTAATACCATAAATATATACAAACATATTTATCATCAGTATAAAAAGTTAAGTTTTGTAAAAAGTTTCAATGTGCTAAAGAACTGTGGACTGTGCATTCTATTTAGAGATGTCAGGCCTAGCCAGCTTCACTCATGTTTTCTCTCTTAATGTGCAGTGTATCTTGCATTTTTTGCAACTTTAATTATAAAAGTTTGTAAAACACAGTACTGTAATATGTATAATTGTGTTGTATTAGTTTAATAATTTTACTTTCTAAACACTGTATATGAATTTCATCACATATTGTATGTGTACTGTGTTACCCCTCTCTCTCTGAGTGTGTTACAGTACAGTATATTGTTTGGCTTTTTGTGTGTTAAATGTAGACAACAGTTATTAAGAGTTAAGGTTTAGAGCCTCAAGATATTTATGGCCTTTTCACTTTCATAGGAGTCCTGTGCTCCCAAGCCCTGTTATTGTGGCAGGCCAACTGTATTTTCAATCTACTCTATATTTCATGAATAGAATCATATTGGATATTCCGTTAATTTTCAGCTTCAAAACAACATATAAAAATATATATTGGATTATTTTATTATAAAATTATAATTATAAAACTGAAATAAGTATGTTGTTAGAAAAGTTAACTTATTTTTTAATTTTTAGATAAAAGAAGTAATGAAGATGGTATGGAGCAGTCAATGTCAGAATTTCAAAGGAATATTCCAGAAGGTAATAGTAAAATTATGTATATTTTATTATATTAATTGTAAATTTTATACAGTTTTTAATAAAAGAAGAAATTATAAATTCTTTTATGTAAACTAAAATGAATAAGTAAAAAGTAAAGGATTGTAATATTATAAATAATGTATGCCATATAAAGTAACAAATTGGTAGTACTTGTAGTACTAAAAAGTAGTTTTGTATGAACTCTTAAGATATAATAATGTGAGAACCGAGGGTACCCCGAAATAACCTCAATAACTACATTCAAGATGGAAAAGTAAAAAGAAAAATTTAAGAAATCTTTCTGTTAGAGTCCTGACACTAGTTAGGATAAAATGGTCTTGCATCTTAAGTTGCAATTAGACTTTTCTGAGTGGAAAAAATATATTAAACTTTTCTGGAATTTTAGGAGATAATTTGAAACATGGGTCAGTGATAGAGTTAGGCATAAAGAAAATTAGATGAAATTAGCGATTAAAATATATATTTATTAACAAAATTAATTATACTTAATATATATAAATAAAGGAATAAATTTGGAAATAACATAACAATTTAAGGGATCAAAACTTTTATTTACAATAAATTTTGAAAGGAGTAAATTTGAATATCAACACACTAGCTTATATACTATTTTGAGAGCAAATTTACAATAAATTATATTATCTGTATATTTTCATATACAGAAAGTTCAATGTTGGACGATAATTATTATTCAAATGAAGCACAAAATTAAAATTATCTTTGTAATCTTGTCTCACTGGAGATCAAAGTTTTACAAGGAGAACTTGAAAATTTGAGAACTTGATGAGCTGGGAGAGCTTGAAAAATTGAGGAGAACTGATCCTGCATCAGTGGAGGTTAAGATTATTGAGAGGAGAACAAACGAGAGAGCCAGAGAACCAGGAGCACTAGGGGGAGCTGGGAGAGTATTGTTTAGAAGTAACAAACTCCTTTTTTAACTGAAAATTCCCTCTAATGAAATTTGTCAAAATGTTGTCCATGCTTCCACTGCGTTATGGAAGTCGGGCGATTTTCACAGTGGGATGTGTCAAGATCCAACACCACACTATCACTTTTGAGGGAAATGATGTTATTACCTTCTAGCAGAAAGGAAATTTCCCTTCTCTTGTTAGTATATTTTCTCAAAAATAAGTAAAATTTAACAATTGTTTAAAACAAATAATTTAATAAAATCTATTAGAATTATAAAATTAGTTATAAAGTATCCCATTTTTGATAAAATTTTTGTTGAAATTAATCCATCAGCTCTAGATTCTCACAATAACAAAAATAAAAAACAATAATTTTGTTTTTAAATAGATGTGAATATGACTATGTAAATGAAAAAATTTATTTACTTGAAAGTTTCATTGATATTTTATTACTAAATGTATTAGATGAAATTTTTAATTGGACAAGTTCTATGATATTTTCACTTTAACATATTAATGTTCTTGATTCCATTAAAGTCTGTAGCATTTTAGATTCATTGATTTTTTTTTTATTTTTTTGGTAGGATTTGTATTTTTTGTTATTCCAGTGGATTCATTAAAATGGAATATACTATATTACTATGTCATTTCTAGGTCATAACTGCAATTTTCAATATTAGTTTGAAATGTATTTGATGTCTTTTGTAGAAATTGAGCAGTTGATGGCAGGGCCAGATCATCACACAGACAAATGAGACAGATGTCTAGGGCCCGGTCAAACTGTCTGTTTTGAAAAGATTTGTAAATAAGATAGTTTACTTTTCTGTTGGACAACTGTGTATAATAAACAAAAATATATTGCTTTTTATATGGTTATTGTGAATTCTAAAATCTAAAGAAAATGTGTTCTTATGTTTCTTCTTATTGAAAGTAATTCTTCTGATAATTTAGAATTTTTTTATAGCAATAAGAATAATATTAACTACAAGACGATGAGCCCGGCGTTGCCTGGGCAAAAAATAACAACAAAGGTTAAGATTATTAGATTATTTCGTACTTTTAATCTTTCTAAATTTATTGTTGTANACAAGGATTTCTTGTAATTATTTAGCGTTAACCTCAAATAAAGGAATCTGGCAGTTCATTTGATACTTCACGTAATTACTTAATTGATTTTATTTATTACATGTAAAATAAAACTTTTGGATTTCATAAGAAATGATAAAGTATTTAAAAATAACTATAATGTTAAGTTTCATGAAATACGAAGCATCTATTATTTTGAATAAGCAAAATTTATTAATTATTTATTGCTTAATAATCTAAGATGATAAGTTAGTTTCCATAGTTAATCATTTTTCATATAAAGACACAAAGTAAAATAAAGTGTTTATTTTTAGCATGATTTTTTTTTACCTTTTAAACGTGATTTCAATATACAACTTTCTTAATGAAATGCAAACATTATATTCAATATCTCAGCATTTGGAAATTCAGAAGTTTAGTATAATTGTAAACTTTCATTATGTTAAAAATAAAATTAAATTTTTAAACTTATTTTTTATTTCATATTATAATAGTATGATTATAGTAGGAATGTATTATGTATGTTATGAAACAAATAACATGTTACAGTGTATTGCAGGTATGCTATGATAATGTCTTAATATTCAGGAAATTTTTAATTTTCTGAATATTAGTAGATTTTTAAATTTCTGAAATCTGATTTTAGAAATTAAAACAAAAATTAATTCCAGCTGCCAATAATTTTCAATAAAATTTTTAAAAAGTTGTAAAAATCAATGAGGCAAATTATGTTTAAAAATATTTTTATTCATAATTTTAAATTATAATTTGAATTTTTAATTAATAGATATAAGAAATCCTGAAGATAATTTAGAATTTGAAATTGGGCAGATGCCAGATATGTTAAGAAATACGGAGGGTAAGAGTCATTTACATAATTTTCTAAAAATTTGTTGATTTGTTAATACAATTATAAGTATATTAGGAATACCAGAGACTGTGGTCTGTAATACAGTTGAAGGTAGAGAACCAGATTCTCCCAGTACTTCAGCATCACAACTTTCAGATGTTTTATTTTCTACATCTTCGACGTCAACTGATGAGGAAAAACATTCTTCTCCGTATGTACACTATTTTTTAATTAAAAATAATGCATTACAGATAAAAACATAGTATTATTAATATAATTTTTATGGTTCAAAATATAATTATAAAAGTATGTCTTGAAATAGTACTTGTAAAGTAAATTACATCAAGAAACTGGAAACGATGTTTCTTAATGTAGTTAGCCTGGGTGAGCAGTTTGAGCAGTAATATGTCACAAATAAAAGACTAGTTCCAGAAGGTTCCAGAACAATGCCACTACCACAAACTGCTAGTGAGATATTCCAGAAAGTTCTAGAATATTTTGATTGGAGAAAATTGTGGAAAATTCTCCCCTTATTAGAGCCAGTGAAAGGTGCCATCTAGTGGGGATGAGACAGTACTGTTGCCAGTACAAATGCTGTAACAGTGAGAGAAAGTACAGCACATGGGGACCGTCCACATAGGATGTAAATCTGGTTCCTTTTGCTTTGAACTTGGATAACTTTTTTATAGTTTAACCTAAATTTACCAAACTCAGCAAAAATATGAAGCAACTCTCTGGCTTTATATTAAGCTTAATGATGATAGTTAAATAAAATTATTAACATGAATTGTTTGTATTATTGATAATTATTCAGTCTTGAAATCTGAAAACAAACTATTGAACACTTTTACTTTACACTGATTTCCATTTAGTTAATTTGCTTCAATTATAAATAAGAATTAATAAATTATCAATAAAAGATATATTTTTTGAGTAGTAATTTCAATAAAATAACAATTAAAATTTACTAAAAGTCAGACAATCTACTGAATTATCAGGCCTGATAATTTGGCAGATTGTCTGACAATGAAAAATCAGGTTTGAAGAGTTGTTGTATATATATAAAATATCTAGAAAATATTCTAAGTTGGCTTAAAACATCTGTCAAATGCTGATGTAATTTATTAAGAAAATGGAATATGGCTATGTAGCCAGACTACTATTTTCATTAATTAATAATTAATAATAAAAATATAAAATAAATAGCATGTGTGTGGTGAAAACCTCACAGGTTGCCAGATAGGTTTTATAAAAAGTAAAGCAAAATTCCTTGAAATGTAGCCCAAGTTATTTTTAAAGTGGTCCAAATGTAATAGGCTAGAGCCCTACAAATATCTCAATCTGGTATTCATAGCCCAATCTTGAAATCCCAAAATCCAGCTGTATTTTATGAAATAAGAGAAAAAAGGGTAGTCCATTTGTAAGGTGACACCCTGGAAAAGCAGTGATATTGACCAGATTAGAGTTGTTCTTGGTCTACTGTTCTCTTATAGCACAGAGGCACTTCAATAAATGAAACTGAATGAATGAGTTAATGTACATATTACAGTTCAGACAGAATTTTCAGTTCGAATTATGAAGTAGCCATATTTTGAACTAACTGAATTCCTTAACATGTAAATCTCTATATCCCTGGCCAGGACATAAGTAGAGTTACAAATTAATAGGATTTTGAACTATTCAAATTTGAATTAACAAGGATTTCTTGTAATTATTTAGCGTTAACCTCAAATAAAGGAATCTGGCAGTTCATTTGATACTTCACGTAATTACTTAATTGATTTTATTTATTAAATGTAAAATAAAACTTTTGGATTTCATAAGAAATGATAAAGTATTTAAAAATAACTATAATGTTAAGTTTCATGAAATACGAAGCATCTATTATTTTGAATAAGCAAAATTTATTAATTATTTATTGCTTAATAATCTAAGATGATAAGTTAGTTTCCATAGTTAATCATTTTTCATATAAAGACACAAAGTAAAATAAAGTGTTTATTTTTAGCATGATTTTTTTTTACCTTTTAAACGTGATTTCAATATACAACTTTCTTAATGAAATGCAAACATTATATTCAATATCTCAGCATTTGGAAATTCAGAAGTTTAGTATAATTGTAAACTTTCATTATGTTAAAAATAAAATTAAATTTTTAAACTTATTTTTTATTTCATATTATAATAGTATGATTATAGTAGGAATGTATTATGTATGTTATGAAACAAATAACATGTTACAGTGTATTGCAGGTATGCTATGATAATGTCTTAATATTCAGGAAATTTTTAATTTTCTGAATATTAGTAGATTTTTAAATTTCTGAAATCTGATTTTAGAAATTAAAACAAAAATTAATTCCAGCTGCCAATAATTTTCAATAAAATTTTTAAAAAGTTGTAAAAATCAATGAGGCAAATTATGTTTAAAAATATTTTTATTCATAATTTTAAATTATAATTTGAATTTTTAATTAATAGATATAAGAAATCCTGAAGATAATTTAGAATTTGAAATTGGGCAGATGCCAGATATGTTAAGAAATACGGAGGGTAAGAGTCATTTACATAATTTTCTAAAAATTTGTTGATTTGTTAATACAATTATAAGTATATTAGGAATACCAGAGACTGTGGTCTGTAATACAGTTGAAGGTAGAGAACCAGATTCTCCCAGTACTTCAGCATCACAACTTTCAGATGTTTTATTTTCTACATCTTCGACGTCAACTGATGAGGAAAAACATTCTTCTCCGTATGTACACTATTTTTTAATTAAAAATAATGCATTACAGATAAAAACATAGTATTATTAATATAATTTTTATGGTTCAAAATATAATTATAAAAGTATGTCTTGAAATAGTACTTGTAAAGTAAATTACATCAAGAAACTGGAAACGATGTTTCTTAATGTAGTTAGCCTGGGTGAGCAGTTTGAGCAGTAATATGTCACAAATAAAAGACTAGTTCCAGAAGGTTCCAGAACAATGCCACTACCACAAACTGCTAGTGAGATATTCCAGAAAGTTCTAGAATATTTTGATTGGAGAAAATTGTGGAAAATTCTCCCCTTATTAGAGCCAGTGAAAGGTGCCATCTAGTGGGGATGAGACAGTACTGTTGCCAGTACAAATGCTGTAACAGTGAGAGAAAGTACAGCACATGGGGACCGTCCACATAGGATGTAAATCTGGTTCCTTTTGCTTTGAACTTGGATAACTTTTTTATAGTTTAACCTAAATTTACCAAACTCAGCAAAAATATGAAGCAACTCTCTGGCTTTATATTAAGCTTAATGATGATAGTTAAATAAAATTATTAACATGAATTGTTTGTATTATTGATAATTATTCAGTCTTGAAATCTGAAAACAAACTATTGAACACTTTTACTTTACACTGATTTCCATTTAGTTAATTTGCTTCAATTATAAATAAGAATTAATAAATTATCAATAAAAGATATATTTTTTGAGTAGTAATTTCAATAAAATAACAATTAAAATTTACTAAAAGTCAGACAATCTACTGAATTATCAGGCCTGATAATTTGGCAGATTGTCTGACAATGAAAAATCAGGTTTGAAGAGTTGTTGTATATATATAAAATATCTAGAAAATATTCTAAGTTGGCTTAAAACATCTAAATATTTCAGAAATACAATAAAATGTAAAATAAAAATTAATATAGACATTAACTAATTAATATTAATTAGATTTATGAAAATTTTGAATTAAAGAAAATAATTAGTTTTATCATTGAAACAATATTCAGTTCTTATTCAATTAAAAATTGTATGTTTACCAAAATTATACTAGTAACAAATGTTTGGTTAGAAAGTTTATGAATAATTAAAATATATTCACATAAATTTTAAGTATAATTTGGCAACTCTCTAATATTTAATTTATTCTTATGATTATTTATTGATACAATTAAATGATATTCTGTATTAAGTTCATGTGGAATATAATTTTATTTCTAAAAGAAGAAATTTGTTTCATTTATTTTTTAACTAGAATTCTTTTCTTCTTATACAGTTCAAGTAAAAGATCCAAAATATTGAAAATGAAAGGAAAGTACAAGAGCCGTAAATTAATTGAAGCAGAAAAAAAGTCATATGAATTAAAATGGAAAAAACTGCAAATGNTGTGTGTGTGTTTTTTTTAATAAAATCAAAAACAATGACATCAATAGAAGTTTTTATTTACAGCCTATTTATAGGCTGTGAATAATATACTGCCTTTTTATGCTGTGTATCTGGTATGATGATTATTCTCACCAAGCACCATACTAGCCACATTGCCACTTGAGCTTATCTTGGTTCTAGATAGCTCTTCAAACATCAAATATACTATGTTTATTATCCATGTTAAAATTTTTTTCTATTTCATTTATTTTTTAACTAGAATTCTTTTCTTCTTATACAGTTCAAGTAAAAGATCCAAAATATTGAAAATGAAAGGAAAGTACAAGAGCCGTAAATTAATTGAAGCAGAAAAAAAGTCATATGAATTAAAATGGAAAAAACTGCAAATGGAAATTGAAGTAGCACAATCGATGAAAACATTAATCACATCCCTTGCTGATTTAGTAAGTCGAATCCAACCTCCATTTCCTGGACAATCTTCTACAGTTCCAAACTGGACAATGCCAACCCCTTATTCTTTTGTACAAAATTATCCACAGCCAATGCCTTCTTCCCCTGTATCTCAACAGTGTGTATGTAATAATCGAAAATCATCTCAATCCATAAATGGAATGCCATCATCTAATCAACCTTTTGTAAATCATTCTAAAGATTCATCATTTAATAATCTACACAATAATGGTATAAATGAAAATACTTGAATAACAATTTAATAGCAGTTATTTTAAATTTATTTTATTTTCTAATGTTAGATCATTTAAGAAAGGGTAATTAATAACTTTGTAGAAAATTAAATATTGTGTAAAAATTCATTCCAAAGATTTAAAGAAATTTTTTTTAATATACAATTTATATATACATACATACATATATATATAAAAAAAAAATCTCATCTATATATAATCTATTTCTTTAAAATTTTTATTACTATTCTCTTTTTTTCCCATATTTAATACCATCTAAATGATATATTTTTATACTCTTTCTAGAAAATAGAAATTTCCTGTATGTTAAATATATTCATGTAAAGTAGAATTTAAATGTGAATTATTATTCAGTTTTTGTCAGATGTTGATAAAGTGAAATGAATAGGTGTACTTGGAATTGAAGAATATATGAAAACCTTCAAAAATATAAAGAATATGGTTTACCAAATGATCTATAATTGAATATTAATGTGATTTGAATTGAAACTGATTGAAAGGAGGAATGAAAATTTTTTTTAATTAGTGATAACTGCTTTATTAAACTATACTGGTAACTATACACTTAAGATCACATTCAAAAAACTAATAATAACTGTGGTAATTAAATGCACAATATAATTTAATTTAATTGATCTGTATGGTTGTCTCTTAAACTAGGTTTACATTGGCATATGAACTGCTATTAAGTGGATACAAACTTCCACTTTGTCTCCTTTCAGCAAATGTTTGACAAGTTTGTTAGGAGTTGAGAATAACTCAACTTTTGGCAAAGTTTGGTTTGTTTTACCAATCAACTTTTCACAACTAACGTTTGAAACCTTTTTAACCTTTTTCTGTGAAACCTTTTCAACCCAAATTAAATTTAATTTTGAACAAGTTAGTCTATTTGCTTACTTTTCAATCAAATTAATTTATTATTATTATTAATAATCAATGCAAAGTTTTAGCCTGAAATTAATCCAGTTTTAATAATATAAAAATCCACAGCAATTTGATAATGATTCAAATAATCTTAAAATGTTCAATGTTTTAAGATTATTAGAAAACATCTTTGTAGGCTCACTTAAAATATTAATCACTGCAAATTTTAAATACAAGAAGAAATCTTTGCCAATTACATTTTTCTAGAAATATAATTACAGTTCTGAAATTTCAAAATATACATATGAGAGGACAGTTTCATTTGTGTTACCTTAGCAGTTTTCAACATTTTCTGACGAAAACACAATGGAAATACAGGCATTTGGATGGTATTCTGTCAATTTCCAAACCAAAGAACATAAAGAACATAACATAAAGCAAGTGAAGTTTATTGAGAAATGAGTACTATGTATGGGGACAATTGTCCATTATGGTGTTCAGGGAGAAAAAAGAATATCCTGGATGCTTTCAGATCAGACCATTTATCATTTGCCATACAATTCAGATCTGGCATATTTTGATTATCACTTGCTAATCTCTTCAGGAGGCCAAAAAGACTCTCTAAGAAGGGATTAGCAGGTTACCACTTTGAAGTTGAGAACAATGTAAAGACAGCAGTTTGACTGTGTCAGTGGACATTCTATGAGAGTGGTATTCAAAAATTTGTGCCATAATGGGAGAAATGTTTGGCCTCTCTTGGATACTACATGGAAATGTAGGGTATGAACTTGGCTTTTATATGTATACTTTGAAATTCTGAAATAATAGTCAACTCTTGAGAGAAAAACAGTTGGCAAAGTATTTTTGATTCCTTCTTGTAATAGGTCCCAATGAATCTAAATTAATGGATATGTAGGATACATATTGACTTGCGTTAGGCATGGAAAATCTTTCTATAGTAAAAGGTCACATGAGTGTTTGACATGAGGTGGGTTGAAATACTAAAAACATTAGACTTTTTGCATCATTCTACTATAACAATAACATTATATAATTTTTTTTATTCATTTAAAATTGCAGAAGAAAAATTTAACAAAAATATTTGTATTTATTGCACTTAATTTTAGTAAGAACTTTGAGATTACAACTTTGATCAATTTTTTAATATATCAAGAACCTTAGATATTTCAACACAGCTAATTAAACTGGTTAATTACAATTAGCTTTTGCAGAATTATAAATGGGGCTTAAATATAATTTTATGGATAACTAATTTTTGAATTTATTACTCATAACCTTATGACTTGTTCAATGAACATTTGGATTTACTCTAAATTACTTATGATTAAATCAAAGACATCTACAGTAGGTACTAAAATTCATCTAAATTGTTATATAACTTATATGATTTTTAATGTCTGTCCCAACTCTACTTATGAGAATTATTTCTATGGATCTTAAAAGTATGCAGACTGTAGAGTCATATAAGGCTGCAAGTTTCCACTCTCTGTCTTATGTATTGCCTATTATGTTGACACATTTGACTTTTTTTTTTTTTTTTGGATACAACTTTAAATTTAATTTTATTCTTTTTCAGAACTAAATTAATACTTTTAAAACAGCAGATTAAAACTTTCATAAAATATAAAATTTATTAAATGAACTAATAGTGAATTTATAAATTAAGATAATCCAGTTATGCTTATAAGTTGTAACTTAGTGCTGCTTAGCTTCATATTACTGATTAGCTGGACATGACATTTAATATGAATAAGAATAGGCTTTAACTTGATTTCAAAATAAGCAACACACAAATACTGCATGATTATTTTCCAAATAATGCTGTATTAAATGTATATTTTGAACCAATATAAATTTTAAAATATTTCCTTCCTTACCTGCAAATTCACATTTTTTGCATGGAAATGCATTGTATATTACATACTTGAACACTTCATGTTAAAAATAAATAAATAAATCTTTTAATTTGCATCTTGAATAGATTGAAAAAAACTCAAATTATTTGCTTACAATAAAATCTTTTCATTGGGCTGCAATTTGAAAAACTCGTAAACCTATAAATTCCCATTTTCTTTCCTTAATCTTGAGAACGGAGTTAGATGAAAGATGAGGCCAGATATGGAAACTGTATAGGCAGGAGGCCCCGATTAACTATAAATATATACAAACTTTCAATGCAAACTGGAAGTCATGTTATTTTAATTCAAAAATTTTCCCCCGAAAAGTGTTAGTTAGATTAATTAATGGTATGACTCTATTGTTAAAGAAAATGTATGATGTACAGGGGCAAGTCATTACTAATTTGAGATGGAGAGCATATATTTTAAATTTAAAATATGATTAAAAATTGCAGCCCGATATTGTGACAATGTCACAATAAATAATTGCTTGTTCTATTGATTAAACCATTGATCAGTTAGTTAATAAATTAACTAATTAAGTTTTTGTTCCTGTATTAATGATTAATATTTTACTTAAATTTTTAATTTTATTAAAAGAATTTAATTCTTTATTTTATTTACAATACTTGTTTATTTCTTATGTATTGTATTAATAAGAAGAAACATTAAAATGAGTAGCATATTAAAAATTTGTTTATTTTATCCTAATTATCACAAAATGTTGAGGATGTGAAATCAGGTGGAGTTTGAAGTTTTTCACTAGGCTATATTGGAGTAACTATGAAAACTTTGGAGATCACTGAAAGGATTTAGAACTGTGTAGAGAACAGGACATGTGGATAGACATGCTATTTTATATATTTATAGATATAACTTGCATATAAAATAAACTAAAGATAAAACATTTATTTGAGATATACATGATGTTCCAAAAGTCTGTTCACTGAGATGTATTTTAAACTGATTTACTTGGAAGAGATGCATATTGTTATTTTGTGATTCTACAAATTTTATATATTAGTATTCAATAATATCAGTTGGTCCAATCAGCCTTAAATATCAATTCAAATCACGTTACTATTTAATAATTGAGACATTTGGGATTTGTTATCTAGTTTTTAGCATAATATACCAATTACAATAGAGTCCGAATTATCTAATTTAAACAGAACTGATAGAAGATCCAGTATCGCAAATACTGAATAATGCAATAATGTAATATTTTACTGATTAAAATACAATATTGTTAAACACAAACTGTCTTAAAATTTAAAAAAAGTATATGGAAAATTTTAAGCATGTTATACTCCAAACTAGTTACTGATGTCAGATAATCGGACTCTGTTGATTATTCAATTTTAATTGATTAAAGCCAAGCTTCATTTTATAAAATATTTTTAGTAAAATGATATAATGATAAAAATTTTTAAGGATTTTTTTTTAACAGTGAATGATTAATTTATAATCATTACAAAAATTGAATTTGTGCGCTTTATGAATTATTTTATATTCCAATCATTGGTCTTTCCTTATAGGAAAATAAATAATTTATTATTATTTTTGTGTTGTTTTTGACTTTTACACTATTTTTAAAGAAAGAAAAGGAAGAAAAATATTTTACTTAAAGAAATGAACTTTTTTTTAAATAAAGAAAATATAATCTAGGATAAGGTTTTTGACTCGATTTATCTTTTTCAATTATGTGTAATATTAAATTTCAGGAAATAATTTCAAAAATAAACAAGCTAACGTGCAATTTTTTCCACGAAGAAGCATTCACTAAATTGTTTTCACAAGAGTAGAGAAGAAAGGACAGGGAAGAGCATACAGGAAGCTAAATGAGAAGGGTGCGTTGAACCTTACTAATACATGGTAAATATGTAATTACAAAACTAAAAAAATTATCAACAAACAGTTAAATGTTAATTCAATATTAATATTAGTTTTAAATTAAAAATGCTGCTGTTTTATTTATCATCATTACAGGCTATTAGAATATTAATATATATATACTCGTACTATCCCCAGGTGACTAAATTCACAATACAACTGTTTTTCTTATTCTCATTAAATAAAAAAAATGACTTCTTCCAAAATAAAGTATATCGATCCATATTTTATATAAGCAATAAATAATTGGTATACTACTGTCTATGACTGGTATAAATTTAAATAGGCCTATAGCACTTCAATAAGCGTTTTCAGATATTGTCTATGCCAAGTCGACGACCTATTGTATTTTTGTGTATTTAAACGTATTATATGAAATGCCTCCTCTTTTGCCATTTCGATGTGGAATTATACAGTATAAATTGGGCCATTTTGCAGGCATGCCGACTCTGAATAGGATTGATGGTATGAGGCAATGCGATATATGGACTGCCAAGAGGTGCTTCAAGGGAGGACTTTATGCTTTCAGAAATTGGCTTCCTATTTTAGTGTTAAATATGTGAAAAAACCCGAAAAACTCCACATAGGCGCAACTCAATTTATGACCTATGGAAAATTCGATTTACGACGGTTTTCCAGCAGCCAAATAGAGCGTTAAAGCGAGGGTTTATTGTGTTTTTATAAATCTATAGTCGCTGTTATAAATCAATATAAATCCAACAATCAAAAAACATTAATCGATTATACTTTGAAATACAAAAATAAATTCGAAAACTGTAGTATAAATTTAGCATTAATAATTCGCTATTCGGTGAATATTTCTTCGAATTTATTTATTTCGATGTTCTTAGAAAGAGTTCAAATAAAAATAAATATATATTTTCGTTTATTTTTATTAATCATATGTGTAACAATAAAAATGAAGAATTCATGCATAAAATATACATTCATAATAATTTCAGATTCCTGAAACTAAGTTCATAATTTTTATTCGAATTACGCATCATAAATATCATAATCGTGTTTGGGATTTACGAAATAAAATATTTAACATTGTGCTTTAAAATGTATACCGTATTTTATGACATATAACACGCACCTCCATTTCGGCACAGAATTTTTAGGTATTTAGTACAGTTCATCTCTCGCCTTTGGTAAGCAGAATTTAGAGCTGCTTACCAAAGGCGAAAAATGCCCCTGTACATCATACTTTTCCTTTAACAATAGAATCGTGCCGGACATCTAACTCTGTTCTGGAGAAAAATTTTTGAATTGAAATCCGGTCTAGATCAGACGTTCGTATACAGTTAATCAGGGTCTCCTGCCCCTAAGTTTTCCATATCTTTCATCTATCTAACTCCGTTCTCGAAATTAAGGAAAGACAGACTGACAACGCCATAGGTCTACAATTTTTGAAAATGCAGCCAATTTATGGTAGATTATTTATATAATATATCAAATTATTTTAGACAGCTTTTGGGCGATCCCTATGTTTTGTATACTTTAGTTCAAAATTTCCCGAATGGAACTTTTTTAAACGGCATTTGACACGTTCGAAGTTCAGGAGCATATTCACCGTATACGTTACAATTGTTTTTACTGTTTGTGTGGCATTGTATGCTTTACGAAACTCATAAAGCATAATATGCGGATATGCTTTTTATCCGAACACATTACAATTCGATTTTATTCAGACAAAATGTGAAGTATAAAGACTTTAAATTAAAGTAAAATTCTAAACAAAGGATAAAATCTCTCATTATTTGTAATATGTTAAATTTCGCAGCTGTTATAATTAAATCATACATCTGTGTTAAAATGCCTAAGTCATCGTTCGGGATCTGGAAATGGATTAATTCACTTTCCATTACTTCTAATGGGAAAATTGATTCGGAGTTCGAACGACCTCCTGGAATGAATTAAATTCGAAGTACGAAGCACCATTGTGTATATTTTTCCTGGAGTCATTAAATATTGCGTTAACTATAAATAATTTCCATTTGTTCATTAATAAGACTAACAAAAATACTAATATTTATAAATTCTTAACNATAATAGTTTATCATACCGAGTACTCAATCTAATTTTAAAAATTCTTTAAATTGTGTAGAGTAGAGGAATAAAGAATTTTTAAAATGTGTTCGATTGGTCACTTGGTGTGATAAACCCTTAACACTCTCCCTCTCACCCAAAATCCATTATTAGTGTGCATTTTCATGGTGTAATCTAACTGTGTACCAAATTTCAACCTTCAACTCCTAACTGTTTGGGCTTATTATCATCAATCCATCTCGATTATAAGATTACACGTCATTCTAGTCTTCCATTATTTTCTGTAGTATCTATAAACTATTAATCATTTCTTTGTTTAATTTATAAAAATCTTTTTTAAGTGTTGTATATGAAAATGTAAGCAATTTGGTGTGAAATAATCTGGATTTTCTGATAGAGATTAAACAATTTAATCTCTATCAGAAAGTCCTGACCATTTAATGGTGATTGGTCGTTTCGGTGCTTTTCGAGGTCTTCATCTACTCGAATTTGCATATTTTTGAGACGTAAGCGAATATTACATTTAAAATAATTATTTCTAAATCAAATTCTAAAGATGATTAATTAAAAAAAGAATTTGCAAAACTAAATGCAATAGTTTAATTGACACCTAATTTATAACAAGATAATGCAGAATGCCATAAGACTGAGCATAAAAGTTGGAAAAAAACGATTAGAAAATAACCTAAATCTAAATTTATATTCAATATACATTTAAATCTACTAGAAGATTTATTAGAAAGTGTTTTTAAATGTAATTTTTACATTTTACACCCATATTACATACACCCAATTACATATTTACATACAAAAAAATACAAATTATTATAATTTTTCGAATGAAACTGCTCAAAACATTACTAATAGTAATTTGAATTCAACTAAATAATTGTAGTTTGAAAGAAAAAATATATTACTTATTTTAGCCACTCTTGAAATTTCTATTCTTCCAACAGATAGTATGAGTTAAGGCGTTACTTTCTACATTATATAGTACACAGAAACTCATAGGCCTATCCGAGAATTAGAAAAAAAGCCAAGAATTAATGAGAAATGAATCGATTTTTTGTTCTTATGTGTTTATATTTATTAACTATTTTCAGGAAAATTTGCATAACATGTTCTTTAATTTGAAAATGCTATGTTTTTAAAATGATAAAGTGAGGGGAAAATATATTTACGAAGTATATTTAGATAATTAGAAAATGAATATCTAATTTGATTAATTTTGTTTTAATTGAAGAAATTTACGATAAAATCCAGCTACGAGTTGCTTAACTTTCCCGGAAACATTCAAAACTGCATGCGTGGCGCCATCTGTTATGATAATTTATTATTAAAAACTTTTTATATTTTTAACTGTCATAAAATGGCAAAAAGCTTAATTTTGAGAGTAGAGATGGGTTTATTTTTTAAATATCGAAAGGGCGTAGGGTACTACTATTGAAAAACTTACTACAAGTACTATCACTCTGTTCATGCAAAATTCATTAGGTATTTCAAAATATGGCTTGGCTCTTAGGATATAATCGTAAGAGCCTAGTCTTGATGATTTTGAGTTAGATATTCGTAATTATTTTGGAATAGGCTATAACTCGGACGAAAATATGAAAGAATATTGCGCTTCACTAGAAAGTAATTAAGAAACTAAATTAAAAAAGGTAAACGTTGAAGTGTTAACTTTATTATTTTTTTACCACAATACAATTTTTAATTATTGTACAACTTTATCTGTTTTTTTATACATTATAAATTTCTTAAGAACAATAAAATTAGCTTTTTTGTGAAATTTATTATAGATTCCCATTTGTTTGGTTCGATTGCATTTTGCTTTATAAAATTGGTTATTCAAAAAAAGCAAAGAAGTAAAATGGTGCCCTTCGTTTATAGCTTTTGTATAAATTTACCCACACACATTTACACGATAATACAATACATAATTTATTTATTTTTTTCATGGTGACAATTTCATGGTGAACTCAGGATATATTCTTCCAATTAGAAAGTTCAGACTATGTACGAAAAAGTTTATTTATTTTTATTATTACGTAATAAAGAATTAAATCTACAATTGCACCACAATCACAAAATATGTTATTATTGTACTAAAAACACTATATATAAAACTGAGATTAAAACTCACAGTTTTTCCAACAGTTAACTGGGGAGGCTGCCATGTATTTTTTAAATACATGGCAGTAGCATAACGTGAAGTGAGTGGACACTCGGACACCATTTTCTGGGATAAACACGCAGTTATATCACTGGCTTCGAGTGGAATGGATGCAGCTGCATAACTCATATCAACAAAATTGACAATAAGAAAAAATATCAACGCAGAAAAATATAAACCCCAACTGTAATCGTTGTTAACGATGAACATCCGAATTCCAACGCTTCCATAGAAGATCCCTTGTAAAATGATGATAGACATCCACCAGAAAACCGTATTGGAATATATAGCATCGAATTCGTTGAAAATGTTACACAGTTTATTATATAATTCAAAAAGATTTTTGATTTCTGAATGAGACATAACGAAAAGCTTTTTGTAAGCCCTCATATCATTCCTTAAAATGCGACATATGGTGGAATAAAAGAGGAAAAATAAAACAAATGGTATCTCGATAAATACAATCATACAAAAATCAAAAATGGCGGCAAATACAATTGAATATTTATTATTAAAATAAAAGTATTCATTAAAATTAAATCTATCGAAAATTAATCTTCGATCGCTATCGAAAATGAACCAGAGAGAAATTAAATAAAGTAATATTCCATAGAAAGTCACTATAATAACTCGAATTAAAATAGGCTTCTTATTTGACTTGTAGTTAACATTTCGGCCGTACGTATCGGGCAATTTGGCCAATATATTTCTTATCTCAATTTTATTCCGATTAAAATGGTGGTAATTTAAAATGAGTAGGATCTGCCCCAAGACTTTTACAAATAACGTTGCCTTGTATACAGTATCATACTTTAGAAAAGCGAAATGCATGGCGTGAAGGAAAGATAGAATTACTAATATATAAACAATTATCATAATAAATATTCCGTAAATAGATGTTTTCTTCTCCGAGTCGACGTTCAAACCCCATAATTTTGTAATTCGAGTTAAAAACGAAATTTCTTTTAATCTGTCGATGTTCTCGTTTAAATAATCTCTCCCGGTCTTGTTTGATTCTTCTTCCATTTGAAACCGTACAATTCCTATGGAATTGTTCATTCTTCAAAATATAAAATAATTAAAATAAATTTTCGATTATAAATTTTGTTTTTTGAATATTTTATATACGTTAATTTAAATTTAATTCATTCACATTAACGCTTATTTTATACTAGCAGATGAGCCAGGCGTTGCTCGGGCAAAAAAACAACAGCAAAGATTATTTCGTACTTCTAACCCTTCTATTATATTTTAGTACTTGATTTATATTAACAAAAGTTTATTACATAATAGTTTATCATACCGAGTACTCAATCTAATTTTAAAAATTCTTTAAATTGTGTAGAGTAGAGGAATAAAGAATTTTTAAAATGTGTTCGATTGGTCACTTGGTGTGATAAACCCTTAACACTCTCCCTCTCACCCAAAATCCATTATTAGTGTGCATTTTCATGGTGTAATCTAACTGTGTACCAAATTTCAACCTTCAACTCCTAACTGTTTGGGCTTATTATCATCAATCCATCTCGATTATAAGATTACACGTCATTCTAGTCTTCCATTATTTTCTGTAGTATCTATAAACTATTAATCATTTCTTTGTTTAATTTATAAAAATCTTTTTTAAGTGTTGTATATGAAAATGTAAGCAATTTGGTGTGAAATAATCTGGATTTTCTGATAGAGATTAAACAATTTAATCTCTATCAGAAAGTCCTGACCATTTAATGGTGATTGGTCGTTTCGGTGCTTTTCGAGGTCTTCATCTACTCGAATTTGCATATTTTTGAGACGTAAGCGAATATTACATTTAAAATAATTATTTCTAAATCAAATTCTAAAGATGATTAATTAAAAAAAGAATTTGCAAAACTAAATGCAATAGTTTAATTGACACCTAATTTATAACAAGATAATGCAGAATGCCATAAGACTGAGCATAAAAGTTGGAAAAAAACGATTAGAAAATAACCTAAATCTAAATTTATATTCAATATACATTTAAATCTACTAGAAGATTTATTAGAAAGTGTTTTTAAATGTAATTTTTACATTTTACACCCATATTACATACACCCAATTACATATTTACATACAAAAAAATACAAATTATTATAATTTTTCGAATGAAACTGCTCAAAACATTACTAATAGTAATTTGAATTCAACTAAATAATTGTAGTTTGAAAGAAAAAATATATTACTTATTTTAGCCACTCTTGAAATTTCTATTCTTCCAACAGATAGTATGAGTTAAGGCGTTACTTTCTACATTATATAGTACACAGAAACTCATAGGCCTATCCGAGAATTAGAAAAAAAGCCAAGAATTAATGAGAAATGAATCGATTTTTTGTTCTTATGTGTTTATATTTATTAACTATTTTCAGGAAAATTTGCATAACATGTTCTTTAATTTGAAAATGCTATGTTTTTAAAATGATAAAGTGAGGGGAAAATATATTTACGAAGTATATTTAGATAATTAGAAAATGAATATCTAATTTGATTAATTTTGTTTTAATTGAAGAAATTTACGATAAAATCCAGCTACGAGTTGCTTAACTTTCCCTGCAACATTTGGTGGCGCCATCCGTTATCGTATTTTATTTTTAAAACTTTTTATATTTTTAACTGTCATAAAATGGCAAAAAGCTTAATTTTGAGAGTAGAGATGGGTTTGATAAAAAGTTGTAAATGCTGATAACGAGTAAAATCGTCATTAAGTCTGATCTTACTGGAGATACACACGACTTCGTTTATCTCCCCACCCCCTCGACCTTTCACCTCCAAAATTTAATAGCATCAATCAGCAAAATTTAATAGCTACCCCTAATAAACAAAACTCCCTAAAAATTTTCAGAAAATTTCGACAAAAAGTGCAGGAGTGTGCACGAAATTATTAATGGGAATAAAGTCTTCTAACATTGCACCTTTACAATTTACAACTTATAAAGGGGTGTCATTTGTCATATCTCAAGAGGGGTGAAGATTTAATTTAATGAAGATTTTATTCGTTATTAACATTTATATTTTATTTTTTTTTAATAAAAGTCATCCCTATCCTCAAAATTAAGCTTTTTGTCATTGTATAGTAATTAAAAATATAAAAAGGTTTTTTTTTTTATAACAAAATCTCATAATAGATGACGCCATACACACTTTATTTATTATGCTTAACAATATAAACGTTTTTTTTTTCTAAATAAAAACTCATAACAGCCAGGAAAGTTTATCATAAAAGTAAATTACTGGAATATTTTATTAGGAAAATGGCACTGTAATGCGCTCATGCGTGATGGTTTCAGAATGTCATTGAAAGACCGTTTTGTTCATCTTCTGATTACTTCAAGAAAAAGAATTAACGGATAAAAATCCAGTGTAATATCTTGAGAGAAGTTATACAGAGTAAAATGATTATACAGTGGGTGATCGGTTAACGAACATAATCCATTCCAAGACTTTGTTCACTATCCGAATTGTTCGTTAACCGATTATCGATTTACCATAGGTTTCTATGGGAATTTGGGGTATCCAGAACGGATTAATCAAAGATAAAAAATTGTATATTTTCTTACTAAGTTTATTCATATGTAATAATAAAAATACATATATACACAGTCTTGCATCTTTATTAGTCATGTTTTTTCCGTTTGTGGGGGTTAAAGAATCCCTCTAATGTCAATTTCTTTTCTCTCTTCTTCGGAATTTTTCAGAAGTAATTAATAGCATTGTAATTGTAGAGAACCCCAAGTCTATTAACCTCAACCTGGTTTGGATGCTATTCTAAAGACCGTTGTTCTGACACCCTCCCACTTCTTCAAAAGATCTTTAATAGCAGATATCGGCATTAATCCACCTTTTCAGAAGAAAACATATCTCGCCGAGTTTCTTGGTGTTCTTCATTCAAGAGTTCTTGGCGTTCTTCTGTCGTCACATTCGTATCAGGTTTCATTATGAGCTCTTTAACGAGTGCCCGTCCGACAGTCTCTCGAATGCAAGGCCGGATGGCCGAGCGGTCAAGGTGGCAGCCCACCGCTCTGGGGGACCCGGGATCGAATCCGGACGGGTCAAAGAATCCCCAGGAATTTTTCGGGAGGTGGTCCGTTCGGATATGTCGGGCCCCGTCCCTCACCACCCGGTCGCTTCAATGTGGGCCTGGCCGAACCCATAATGGGCCTAATAAGAAGGCCCTCTTAGTACCTACAGGGCGGAAAGAGCAAAAAAAAGTCTCTCGAGTACTACAAAAGAATTGTTTCTGTCAGAAAAATAAAAGGCTGGAATTACAAGGGAGAGTTTCAAAGTTCGGAGGAATACTATCTGATCAGTATATACCGGGTTGAGCGTCGATGTCGATGTTTCCCGCACTCCGGTTTCGAATTGTTGTCTGAAGACAAGAGAAGACCAATCGGTATTCATTATTTTACGTCACTTCTCGTGTTTGTTCTGTGAGGTGTTCGTTGACCGAACATAAAAATCTTTCGCGAAAGTGTTCGTTAACCGATTATCGATTTACCATAGGTTTCTATGGGAATTTGGGGTATCCAGAACGGATTAATCAAAGATAAAAAATTGTATATTTTCTTACTAAGTTTATTCATATGTAATAATAAAAATACATATATACACAGTCTTGCATCTTTATTAGTCATGTTTTTTCCGTTTGTGGGGGTTAAAGAATCCCTCTAATGTCAATTTCTTTTCTCTCTTCTTCGGAATTTTTCAGAAGTAATTAATAGCATTGTAATTGTAGAGAACCCCAAGTCTATTAACCTCAACCTGGTTTGGATGCTATTCTAAAGACCGTTGTTCTGACACCCTCCCACTTCTTCAAAAGATCTTTAATAGCAGATATCGGCATTAATCCACCTTTTCAGAAGAAAACATATCTCGCCGAGTTTCTTGGTGTTCTTCATTCAAGAGTTCTTGGCGTTCTTCTGTCGTCACATTCGTATCAGGTTTCATTATGAGCTCTTTAACGAGTGCCCGTCCGACAGTCTCTCGAATGCAAGGCCGGATGGCCGAGCGGTCAAGGTGGCAGCCCACCACTCTGAGGGACCCGGGATCGAATCCGGACGGGTCAAAGAATCCCCAGGAATTTTTCGGGAGGTGGTCCGTTCGGATATGTCGGGCCCCGTCCCTCACCACCCGGTCGCTTCAATGTGGGCCTGGCCGAACCCATAATGGGCCTAATAAGAAGGCCCTCTTAGTACCTACAGGGCGGAAAGAGCAAAAAAAAGTCTCTCGAGTACTACAAAAGAATTGTTTCTGTCAGAAAAATAAAAGGCTGGAATTACAAGGGAGAGTTTCAAAGTTCGGAGGAATACTATCTGATCAGTATATACCGGGTTGAGCGTCGATGTCGATGTTTCCCGCACTCCGGTTTCGAATTGTTGTCTGAAGACAAGAGAAGACCAATCGGTATTCATTATTTTACGTCACTTCTCGTGTTTGTTCTGTGAGGTGTTCGTTGACCGAACATAAAAATCTTTCGCGAAAGTGTTCGTTAACCGATCACCCACTGTATTTGTATATAAATAGTAACTGCGTGATATGAATCAAACACAACGGCATTTATTTAAGACATTTATAACATTGAATAATATATTTCTAGATTAATCACAGTCAAATCGGACATGTTTACTTCCTCATAACACAATTTGTTTCTGTCGCATAATTCGTCTATTTTTAGACATAATAGATTTATTTTAAATAAACATTTGATGTTATACACGCTAATAAATTCAGAAAATGTTTCCTAAATAACTATAACAGATATTTTATTACTTATAACTCGCCTTCTGTCTCTCCTTATACAATAAATTATGTTTTAAAAAATCGTGCTGTTTATGCCGATTTAATCGATTTTGGGTATTTTAAAACATTAATTTCGAAATAAAAATCTAAAAATATAATAATAATATACTGTATATAAAGTACCAAAATAAAGAGAATTGATTATCAATGATACATGTGCATACGTGATAATATTTACATGTATACACGACTGCATACTTGACAATGAAAATGTTTAAAATGTCTTTATTAAAATAAATTTTTATTTCTAAAAATTATTCAAATAATTATTAAACTAGATAGTATATTTGGAATTTTAGTATTTTCAATGTATATTTAGATTTTTCTTTAATTAAAAAGAAATATACTGTAATTTTTTAGAGATAGATTTAATCCTTTTATTATTTACTGTAAATCATTAATAATATGCGAATGATTGAATTTCACGAAAATATTATCCAAATTTCTATAATAATAATAATAATAATAATAATAATAATTTTTTACTTACTCGCTATTAGTTTCTATTATAAAATTAAGCATTTCTGGTATTGATTTGAGTAGTTTAACAATGCGTGTCCCCCCACACGTACACGGAATGTTGTGCATCCGATTTGATACTGTACACTGCATCAAAATTGCTACCTAATTATTATACTCAAAACCTCCAAACAACGGTCACCTCTAAATAACGGCCAGTTTTTAACAAAAATGCTACAAAATAATCTCTAAACAATGGTCATTTGTTATGTTCCCATCAGAGGTTTGACAATACATAGATATAAACTTTTTACAATGAATATTAATTGTTAAATAATAGTTTTTAAAGTTAAACTTGAAAAGAAGTAAGGAAAAAAATATATAATATATTAGAGTTGTTATTCTAATTATTTAATGAACTTAATCACCTCTAAAAGTATTAGTCGATGGTAAAAGTAAGTGATTATCTAATTTAAATGAAAATAAAAAAAATCAATTAATAATTAACAAGAGCTTACCTTTACAGGTTGTTTTTCTTTTTATAAATTGCTGATTTTGAGGAAAACAATGAATAATTCACTAAAAAATTGTCTCGTTTTCAATGGAAGGATTAAATTGTTATTATTTTTTCTTATTACGGAGCGGCTATTCGTAAACAGACGTCGGCTAGTTACTAATTTTACGGTGTTGACTCTCTGTCGTCATTAACTTGATTGATTTGAACGTACTGTTAGCTTTTATTATTAGTTTTCTGTAGAAGAAAATTATTTATGTTTCAGAAACTTTCTATTGGATATTAAAAATTAATTTGTCATTCCAGTAAAAAAAGTAAAATATAGAATTTTAATAAACTATGATTAAGTAATTACTGTAATTACATTAATGTCTGTCATTTTATTGTCGTTATTATTATTATTTTTTCCTCGTCCAATAAAAATATCAACTGAGAGTTTTAAATATTTATTTTTTTAAAAATAAATAATGTTAATAAATTTAAAAATTTTTGTTAGAATACTTTTAAAACGTACGAATATAAAAGTTTTTGCACTTTATTAACAATAAACTTCTTGAATAACCCGAAAAAACAAATAATTATTCCAGATACTGTAATATATATTTTTTGACTTTGCAGCCATTAAAACCCTTTTAATTAATTAATTAATTAATTTAATTAAACCCCTTCAGTCCATAACCCGAGATAACGAGATTCGACAAGGTCCACGATGAGGCAGCCAAGTGGACCTTGTCGAATCATACCACGAGTCAGATCATCACAAAAATTCCTAAGGATCCAATATGGCAAAAACAAGGGTTCTTCAGATTAACACCTGCTTTTACCTTGCCAATCTGTGCTTCAGTGATCTTGAACAGGAGTTCCTTAATAAATTAGTTTCCTCACAAGTTGGGATCTTTTAAATTGTGTTCAAACGGGTAAGTCTTATATTACGTTAAGTCCGTTATGTGCAAGTGTTTATACGGTTTTATTAACTCCTCTTACGTTAACCAATCAAGTATCGATATTTTTATAATCCCTTTTCTTGGAATTGTATAAAAATGGGATATTTTTCTTCGATATTTTAATTAGTTTTCATCTTTCAACATGCTCTCCTCCAGTCTTCTTCTTCTTCCCGTCGTTTATTTGCATGCACGAATGATAAGATAATTTTCATTGATTGAACGTAAGATTCCTGCCAAAGTAGACTTCCAATGTAACGACGTTGTTGCCCGTGAAATAGCTTCCTGGTATATAACAACAACACTAGATCGCCTACGTCACACTACGTGTGCCTTCTGAACGCAGATTTGATGGTCGATACTTCACAAACTTGTCATAAACCTGTGGAATCGTTATTACTCAGTTCTGGTTTCTCATCTGTAAAAATATATGAATTTTCATTCTTGCTATTAACGAAATTATTTAAACTTGACTGTGTGTCTTTCACTTCTAACAAGTAAGAGTTCGTTTCTCATTACTAATATTTAGTAGTAGAATAAAATTAACGGATTTCATGCTATGTCGGCCGTTTCTGTAATAGTTAACCTTACTACATTGTTCTAAAGCATTCCCTTTCCTAGATTGGACTCTTACAAATTCCAAAGTAGGATTCCCACTTTTTGAAAATTATTTTGAATTCGACTAATTAGGTATTTTTTAAGTTTAGATTGAAAACTCAGATGATAAAAGAAGAAAAAAGAAAGCTGGAAGGCCCTCAAAATCCACGGCTACAGCCATAAAATCTAACTTGTAAGAGAGAAGATGAATAATGCTGTCTGTTTTGTGACAGAGTGGTCGTCAGATTGTCACGATGAAATGTGCATAGTGAACTAAGTGGACCCACGTAAAATGTTCAAGAGCAGAAGCAAATGAAATGTACTTGCGATCTTTTTATATAAACATTTTTCATTCCTCAATGCGTGTTTAAATAAATCATTATGTTGTAATTTGCACTGTTTTCTTTCTTTTTTTTCTTCCAGAAAAATCCATTTATGTTTGGGATCCGAATTTTGAACCATTTTTCCAAATCTCCATCATTGACACGGTTGGCTAAATTCAAAAATGCTCTTTACAAAAAAAATTTTCGTGGTTTCTAACGAAGGGAGCTCTTGAATTACTAATAAAAAGAACGTTAAAACTATTTTTTTAACACCATAATATTATTAAAATTATACTGGTAAAACGAATTGTGGTCCGACATTAGTAAACTTCCTACAGTTAATAGGTTATATAACTTATTTTAAAATGTATAGAATTTAAATCTTCAATGATACATTTACATATAACCTAATATCAATAGACAGCAGATGGTCAAACGCCATTTTCTTTCCGTGCAACACTGATAGAAATGGAATTTTATTTTATTAAAATGAAATGTCACGCAAAATATAGAAGGAAAAATCACTAACGTGACCTTCAATGCGAGATTTTTAAAAGTGTAACACAAATTATAAATTCTACTTGAAGTTCTATTCGGTAATAGCAACAGAATATTTAATTAATATTTTCTGAATTTCTTAACAGTTTAATATTCAAAATCCTTTAAAAATTAAGTTATCTATATGAATTTATTAAGAAATTAAAATATATATATATAACAACAACACCTGTATAAGCTTAGTATTATTCAATTAAATATTAAAAGTGCTCACGATTTAATAGTTATATTTATTCAAATTTTCATCCTGTACTAAATTTCGATCCGTTCGAAGAATTTTTTTTTCGAGTAAAATATTCAATAAAATGACCTTAAATTATTATTTTAAAAAAATAAAAACCTTAAATAATTTTATTTTTAAAATGATTTATTAAATAAGCACTTGAAATATTCTACAATAATTTTCATTTATAGCAGATAACATCAAATCAAATGATTAATATTAATCTTTTAAATTAAAAATGACACTTAAATACGTGTTTATATTGATACTTCTATTTATAATTATTAATAATTTGTTATTGTTATTTGTGATGAGTGTATGAAAATCATTTAAATATTTATATTAAAATAAGGTGTAAATAGTAACAATGTCATTTAGAATATGTTTTTAAAGTCTTTCATTAGCATCCTGGCTATTTACTAGCTTTTACTAGTTTATTTATTTTTTAACATTAATAAATGTTTTTAATTCATTGTCAAGTGTAATTTAATATAATCGCTTTCTAAATTGCAAATTTATATAATAAAAACACTAAAAGGTTAATGGTAAAAATTATAACATTAAGTACTATATGACACAAGATAGGTTTCCCTTCCTTCTTTTGATTCATTATTGATGGTTAGTAGATTGTGCTTTATTGATATTATTGCGTGAGATCAAATACGTAGATCTATATTAAATATTTTATCACATTTTGTATTTTTTTCGCATTGAATAGCGTGGTCATAGAGTAATCAAATAATTGATTTTCAACTGCATCAATTGCTGATAGTGTTATCTAATAACGCCTTGCTAATAGCAATAGAAGTAAGTAAAAACCAAACATAAGGAAAATCATTTGTGGTAATTATTATATAAAAAATATTAATTTAGTAAAATCCCGGTTAACCGAAAATCTACATTATCCCAGGCCAACCTGTAAATGAATACATTACTTTTATTATAGTTTAATTCGTAGAAGAAAATTTAATATGAGAAACTATTTATATTTAAATAATTTAAAAGAGGGAAAAAATCGAATCTATAAAATGCTTAAGGCGAAATCTTGTGTTATTCGAATGAAAACATTGTAAAAATTACATACAAATATCTAAAAATGTCACATAATATAGATTATTACACGACAAAATGCATGTCCAAAATTATTTACATAACTCAGTAATGTTGACAGTATTGTCAAATGATCTTATATAAAATTATATTTAAAAAGCAAATACATAAACGACAAAGAATATAGGCAAGAGCTCAAAACGATAATGTATAACAGCATGTTAAATATTTCAGAAATATTGTTTTAGAATAACGATATTACACTTGAAAAATTTAATAAGTTTATTTAAAAAATATATTTAAAATACTTACTGGCACGTGTTAATGTAAGCGAAAATACAGGAAGAAAATATTCTCGATATAAATCGAGCGACGAACTGTATAATGTATATTATAAATACAGTAGATGGCGTTTAACTTCTTTTGGAAATTTGACGTCACAGTAAGGTAATGAATGATTTACATTTACACTGTATTTACGTTTCTCTGTATTAATATCTGTCCATTTTCGAAAAATACACAGAAGAGACACGAATTGTCCATTAATAAATGGAAGCAGAATGAAGAATGTAAATGATGTGTGAAGCAACTATCAAAATATGTTAATTATTTTCTATCAGTAAGTGGATGGATTTGCAATGATTCGTGTGTAATTATACATGGATCTATCCATTAAAAATATATTAAATTGGATTTGATTCGAAGATTTTTATTTTAACAATTTATATATTTTTCTTTCCAAAAGCAATCACGGATTTATGGTTCTTTGGGTCCTAGGTTCCTCGTACACATCGAAATTTACAGGAGATTCGAATTGCTGTATAATCATTCTGTTACAATTTGAATTACTTCTTAGATGTATTTGAAATGCTTAGTTATTCAATTAATAATTTAAAGTATTAGTTCTAAAATTTGGTGCCCTGGGCCAAGTCTGTTCATTTATAAATCCGGCTCTGCCAAAAAGGAATATGATGTGTTATGGATCAATATAGCCTAACTATTGACATATTCCCCTTTGTAGAAAGAAGAAAAAATGTAGATTTATTGATTATCTAGAAAATATTTAAAATGGAACTGAAT